GTTTAATGTAACTCTGTGTTGAGATGAAACAAAAGTGGAAAATTTAATTGTACTTTTCCCTGCCCTAATTTACACATTTTATCTTCTACTCTCCAGTTATTTTGCTGTCAGTTGCTACCCCCTCCACCCAGTCTCCCTTGCTCACCCCCCTTTTGTTTTTGTTACAGCACACCTTTAATCAGCCTTTCCATGTCAGATGTGTTGCTTGCATGTGCCCTGTCTTTGGTGTTTGCATTCGAACTTTGTCCCACGTGTAGTGTTTGAACAGTAGAAGGTCTCCCGGACAAGGATCTGTGCTTCCTTACAGTTGTCAGATACAGTATCTGGTATCTGGCATCAACATCCTGTATCTAATGCCTGACCACTTACTGTAACTAATGGCATGGCCTTTATTTGCCTGCAAGCAGTTACTTGCATCTCTCTTCATCGCAAATAAGCAGTTTTAGGTAAAATCAATTTTCTAAGATGTCAGTCTGGCTTCCTTCATAGGCATTGTTTGCAGAGAAAAGAGTATTCAGATTTGATAGTATGTTGCCTAGAAATCAGAAATACCTAGGCTGAGTCACAGTGCAGGAACACTATGAAGCCAAGTTTAAAATCCAGTTCTTGTTTTATTTATTGGCCTGGAGTTCAAAAGTAGATTGTTTAGCATGTGTTCACTAGAAACTGATTGATTGCTTAACTGTGTGAATGAGGGTTTGGGGGTGAGGAAGGCAGAAGGAGAGGAATTTGCATTTCCCAAGACTTAGGGTGTCTGAACCGTATTCCACTTTGGAGTTAAGCTGTAGTATTTAATTATCATACATTTTCCCATATATTTTTGTTGTGTAATAAGAAATGCCATTTCCTTCAGATCAAAGACTTTGGCAAATGCTGGAATGCCTCCAGAGCCATGCACGTTATGAGCTGGTTCTTTGGCAGCCACTGGTTACTTATGAAGTGAATATGGGCCTCTCAAGCCAAGGGCAGTTAAAGCATCCTCTGTCACAGTTAGGTGGCCAACACCATCATTTCCATCTTGAAAACTTGCTTCTTGTTAATAACTTGTTAATAAGGTATATATTGTATCTATAGAGGTTGTAAATTGTGGTAGAAACAAGGAAGCTGACTTTTGTGCATATTATAAAACTGGTACTTAGTAAGATGTCCAGAAGGTAAGTTGCAAGTGGATCTAAAAGCCAGCTTGGCCTGTTGTGAAAGTTTTAACGTCATCTGATGATGATATCCTAGATGAAATGCTAATAGGTTTGGAAGCAAATTTAAGTGTCCTTCTGCTTTGCTTTGGGAGTAATATCCATACATGCAAATCAAGCAGTTTTCTGAAGCTATGTAATTACACACTGACAAGTGTTCCACTCAAATCAACTTGCATGTTTCGTAGTTCCTTGATGTGCCCAGCCCCACCGTGGTGTGCCTCAGAGGATTATTCATAACTGGTTCTACAACAACAGAATAAATAGTGTTTAGAAGCAAATCAATATTTGCTATCTCAAATTTGCTGTTGAATGTAGAGGCTGTTAGGGATTGGCTTCCTGTAGGTGACGCAACAGTAATGACCTTTGAGGAGATTTGAGAGAGGAAGAAATGGCATTAGTAAATGCCTGAGGAATTTCTAGACTGATGGGGAAGAAAACAGTGCCACACAGGAGAGCAGCTGAACTCCCTTGTGCATTAGCAGCTTAACTTTGAATTCTGCCCAAGTGGTTTTTGAAATAGCTTAGTTTTAGTCTTTGACAAATTAGTTGCCTTTGCCATAAGACTTGACAAAGCGGTGTATCTTCGTGAATATGTATTTGCAGACTTACTAAGGTACAGATACTGGGCCAAATTCTGCCAAATTCCTGTCCTCTAGGACACAGTGTGGGGCAAAGAACTGTGTGGGTTATAGAATAGGTTCATCGTCCTAACAGCACACTTTTTGCTTCTCTAGGGGTTTCTTCTCCTTTAAATTATTGCAGCTAATGCTTGTCAGTGACTTACACGTGCACTTTGATATAAATACTGTGCCTCTGCAATGTCTTCAACCCTTCTGTGAAAAGAAGTTACACTTTAGCTTATTGGAAGAGTATGTAAGACCCAGCTTCTGTGTGGTGGTCAAAATTTCCCTGTGTAATTTTTCTCTTATGTCAAAGTATGAGCTGAATCAAAATGGCAATTCCTAACTTTTACTACCTTCCAGCATTAGATCTGTCAATCCAACCCTCACAGCAGGAATTCTTCTTTTCCAGCATGGTATTTGTGTGCAGGCCAGCTATGTGTGGGTGTAATTATTTTATAATGGTGTTATTGCTCTCTAGCTGCCCAGTAAACACAGTGCAGTTTCAGTAAACTATATATACAAGCATAGGAACTTTAGACTTGAATGATTTTCTTCACTTTTATATAATAGTAGGTGTGAAGGAGAAAAAAAGATTTAATTTATAGAAACTGTATAAAGTTTATAGAGTCTCTACAATCATCTGAAATGAAAAGGTTGTGGAGAAGAGAGGCTGTACTGAAACTGGGAGGTCCACAAAGCTGGAGAAGAATAGCAGTTAAACGCACACATCAGTAAATACCTGTGCTGAATTTTTCCCATTAGCTCTGCCATCGAGCATATGGACTGCATTAGAGGTTTGTCTACCTTAGGGGTTTTATAAACACATTTCCTCCCTTTTCCTCTTCCCGTCCTGTTACTGTTGCTTTAGACTATTACAGAATTAAATAGTGCCCATTCTGGAGTCATCGCTCTTCCTGGAAAGAGGCTGTTTGCCATAGAAATGTTCAGTGATTAATCTCAGAAATCTGTTCATGTATGCAAGTGCTTTCCTGAAAGTGTCTTTTCTTTTTTTTTCTTTTTTTTTTGTGTGTGAGCTTCTTGAAGCAGTAATACCAGCTTGGCTCGCCCATCCTTTAAGGCATATGTGCAATTCCTAATTTGCATCATGGCAGAATTTCTGCAGCCAAATTAGGAGCCAATGTATGCTCAGGTTTATGGATGATCTGTAAATAAACACAGCTCTCTTTTGCATCCTTATTTACTGTGAAAATGAAGGTTGTCAAAGTGACTGGTGAAAAACAGGACAAGAAACCAAGCCTCTGATGATACCAGAAAGCTTCTGTGTACCCTCTGTGTTTCCTCTTTGATTTTGGTTGACATTGGAAGTCTGTATATCCAGCCCTTTTGATAAGGTCTCCTTTCCTTCCCAAAGCCTGGCACTGATGCCCATCCAAGCATTCCTGAGCATTTCAGACAAGTTCAAGAGGCGGCCCCATTGCCTGCTGCTAGCTCCTGTGTCTGTTCTGCCATCCCCTTTGCACTAACACCTGTATTTGAACAGAAAGGAGTATATCTGGGAGAAGTTCTGGCTTAACATTAACCTCCACCCACCCTGAAAGGTTAATTTTAGCAGATCGATTGTGGAAGTTACACCCTGGGTGACACGTAGCACTTCTGTTCAGCCTTGGCTGTGGGAGTGCATGGGAAACCAGTTCTGGGGTCAAGGTGCTGAAGGAAGGGAAGCCCAAGAAATATGTGACACATCTCTCAGTTTGTTGTACTTCGGGATTTGTAGGTGGTAAATGCTGTGGGTGTTTTACAGATACTCTGGAATCCTAATATAATTTACAGTTTCTTTTGTAGAGAGCTGTTTCAAATCTGTGCACATTCTTCTAAGACATTTTAAAAGAAAAGCCAACAGCAATAATTAGTTTGGCATTTTCCATGTTTTCTGAAGCACTTAAGGGGTAATGACTTTTTTTAACCAATCTTATATAAAATCAGGTTTTATGGAATAAGGGGACTTAAAAGTGACAGATGTGCTTCATGCTGAAAGCTCTATTCCAATGCATAAAAATAAGGAAAATAATTATACATATGATTAGAGACTGCTGACCCTTCAGTTAAAATGATCAAAAAGAACAATATTAAAATTTGATTTACAGAAGCTACTGCTTGGCCTATAATCAGTCTGACCAATAAAAACAAACCAGACTTTTACAGAATGTGATTTCCCAGTAGATGGGTTAGCTGTTTTTGTAGAGCTGAAGAAACACAAAATGGTTTTAAAATATATTTGATATACTCTATGAGTAAATTGAAATACAGCATATAACTAGTTTTAATGGTTTTTGTTCATAAATTGCCAGATTTCCTTAATTCAAGTGAAACTTGAGAACCTCTAGAGAATAATTGTCTTTAAAATGAAATATTACTTTCACAGTCTACTTCATTTATATTAAATATATGGTTTACTTTTTTATATTAGAAGGTAAATGAAAGCTGGTCAGTAATATGATTCCCCTTGCACTTTTGCTGTAGTTCACTATGGAAATGAATTCAGGAAATGGCAGATGTGATTAAAAACTCTTCAGCTGGCCTGAGAGCTGTTTGTACAGCACCTAGCATACAGCACTTCTGGCAAGAAACTAGCACTCCTTGTCTTATTGCAATATAAATGAAATGATTCTTCAATCTAGGGACTTGGAATTTTGATTTTAAATGTACTGGTTAGGAGACTGGGAAGATGAGATTTGATGAGGCTTTTCCATTCATAAGAATGAAGAGAAAATTGTTGCGTTGGTCCTGTTTCCTTGTGCATGCAAGTGAGTATATTGGAATCTGCTCCAGCCCAATTTGCACAAGGGTGTCAGAGCAATAATCCTGTAAATTCACATAGAAAGGTCAAGCTGCCTGCTCAGAGGGTGACATCACTGGAGAGCTGTGCACAGCACATAAATAAATGTTCACCTCTCAGAAGCTGAGCATTAAAGACTGCAAAACTAAGAGAGATTCCTTCCTCCTGCCTTTAAAAACGCATCTAGAAGTGTATAGCTCATGTCTGGTCAAAGAAATTGAATAAAACACTGTAGCTCAAACTTATGTCTCCTGGTTTGGAATGTATTTGTTTTATTCACAGGGCTCTCATGGATTCTGTTTTGTGTATCAGTTTCTGAAATTTCCTACCAGCTTTCCCTTTTCTGGAAACTTAAGTGCTGTTTTTTGTTTCTGATATTCCTAGTTGAACGGGAAAATGTACAGAAGAGGACCTTTACCAGATGGATAAACCTGCATTTGGGAAAGGTAAGACTGATGGTCTTGATATTGGGATACAAGGATACAGCCATAGACAGATTGCAGTTAACTCCTTTTAAAGGAGGTAAAATTTGGAAACAAAGTTGACTTTTGTGCATGTGGAGACATTTGGAGGAGGATGAGGGAAAGCTAAAGCCTGTTTCTGGCTAAATTAAAATTTGTTTTCAGGCACAATCAATGCTTGGGTAGCTTCAGTTCATCTTAGGTGCATTAAAGTCTTTAATGTTAATGGCTGTTACCATGAGGGTATAATTTTCCCATAGAATGCGCCCACGTAAAATCAAATGTGGTTGAGGCTGCTCTGGTGATGATGTCTGTGTTCTTCCCTGGACTGCAAGTTTGAACATCTGAGGCATTATGGCCAAAGACAGATGTTCTTCAGAACCCATCTTCATCCCAGATCTGAAGATGGAAAACATTAATTCCTTGTCGGCCATGTTGTGAGGGGCAGTATGATGGGATCTTCACATATCCACTTACATCAGAGAACTAAGTTTTGGACATCCCTTCATATCTTTAAGCTGTAGTTGTTCCTTAATCACAACATAATATGGCTACTAAACATAATTTACTGTTCTTATTGATAGCAGATAAGTACTAACTCTCCTGAGTGGTCTGTCATGCTGAGAACCTTTTTCCTGCTGTTTTGGTCAAAAAGAGAAAAAAAAATCTTAATATTACTGAGACAGTAGTAATGCTTAGTGCAGGATCAAGAAATGAGACTATCTCCCAATCTAGACAAGTCTTAAATTGGACTGGTGTTTGAGCTTCACAATGCTTTAGTATCCATGGCTAAATTTCAAAAAGAATGTACTGGGTCTAAGTTTGAGCCACAAACTGACTATAAGTTTAGCTTCTGTAGTTCTTGGGAAGTGATTGCATTTCAGACACAGTAAAGTAAAGGGATATTAGAAGAAAGGTATCACATAAATAGTTGCTTAAGTCTATATTCTGCAGTGAGTGTTGCTGAAGGCATAAAGGGATCCTCTTAAAACTCACTGGAAAATCAGAATAAGGCTAGCTAGAAATGTTTTGACTAGCAATTGCTCCCAAAGGCCTCTCAGAACGAAGACAGTGTTACGTGATGCCTTCGTGAATCAGGCTCTAGGGCTTTAAACTAACTGCAGTTTTGGAAGTTGTAAGAAAGGGTTGTCAAATATGTGACTGTAGAGGAGGTCTTTGATTTACAGAAGGAATTATATAATGAAAAAGGCTGTAGGGTGCTGTTAATTCTGCTGTGCCAAGCATATGAAGACTTAGAACCTCTGCGGGCAGGTCAGCTTTCTCTGGGGTGCATACAAATTTTTTCCTCTCTGACTCAACAAAGCAAAATGCCTTTCTGGAGAAAGGGCAAAAGTCTTCTGGTATATTAATGTTTTTCCTGGAAGTGGCATAATAAACATACCCATGTAAATAATGAGAACTTCATCAAAGCTGTCTCTAGTTACAGGTGATTCCCTGAGGACACTCACTGAGAATCATAGAATCATAGAATCATAGAATCGATTGGGTTGGAAAAGACCTCCAAGATCATCGAGTCCAACCCTTGGTCCAAATCTAGTCCATTTACTAGATCATGGCACTCAGTGCCACGTCCAATCTGCGTTTAAAAATCTCCAGGGATGGTGAATCAACCACCTCTCTGGGCAGCCCATTCCAATGCCTGATGACTNGAAGGGTGGCTTCTGCCTTTCTCCTTAAAGAAGCACTTCTTGCAGAGTGGCTTCTTGCTTTCAGAGGCAGCAATGAAGTCTTCTTATACTTCTTCAGGAAACTTACGGTGTGGTGTGTCTCCTTTTGGAGCAGACCATCCCACTTGGGTAATCTTTTGAGAGGATCTGGCTCTGCTGGTCGTGGGATAATTGGGAATAATTTGCACTTCTGAGTTCTGTTTGTTCTTGCCTTTAAGTACTGAAAGAATAGAAAAGGTTTGGGTTTGAGGCTTTCAGATAGGTTATTTAGTTTTGAAATGAATGATATCTTGCTTTCTTTCATGGAGCATTGTTTAGTACTCTTGGCTAGATTAGGGACCAGTAATGAAAATGTGTGGTCCCAGTTTGCCAAGATTAGTGCTTAATGGAACAGTAGCGTGTTGCCCATTCAAAGATAAAAAGATTGAGCTCTTTAGGGACACATGAGTGAGTGACACCTGAAGAGAGTGTAATTGCTGCAGCTAAGACTCCCCCTAAGGGCTGAGCTGATTTGGCTGTGTGCCTCATCCGACAGAGCACAAATCACCGGACACCTCAGTGAGGTGAGGATGCGGTTCCCTTTGGAGGAGTTTGCTGAGAAGAGACACAATACAAGAAGTTGCTATTTAAAGTACTTAGAAAATACGGGGAAGCAGAATGGCACACCAGAAACCTTTCAGAGGAGACGGGACATTGTGGTTGGCTGGATCACAGGCTTATTTCTGTATAAAGTGGTATTTGCTTCTGGTGGACTTGTCTTAGTCTGAGGGATCAGCACCCAACCCCTGGGTGGTCACTTCTTAGCAGAGTATTTAGTGTTAGATTATGTTACTGGAAATCTGGAATTAGTCCTTGTCTGATCTCAATTACAATTCTGTATCTCAGTTTTAGCTCCAACATTCCTAGGACAAAATTGCCACTGATGTGAAGAATAGTCAGGTCTTTCTTCCTGCAGGCCATGATTTACTTCTAGTATCTCTGTTTTGTAAAATTCTCCTTCTAACTCTCTGAAATCATGGTGACTTATCAAACAGTACTGCTTTAAAAGCTGTTTGGTTTCTTTTCTTCACAGTGCAAGCCTCCTTTGAAAGTGAAAGACTTGTTTATTGATATACAAGATGGCAAAATCTTGATGGCGCTCCTGGAAGTCCTGTCAGGACAAAAGTTGGTACGTAAAGAGAGGGAGAAACCTCCATAGGAATGGAGCTTGGTATGTTATGAGCAACAATAAATGGATATGCAAGGAGTAAGGGTGCATTTGGTGCCACGTCTCTTTGGTATAGTAATAAGAATTTCAGTGGCTTTGTTGTAATTTCCTTATGTTACCTGCTGGTGTCCTGAGCTGTAAGATTTCAAGGAAATACATAACAATGAGGTGTAAATGGTGTGTGATCAGTGTTAATGTTCCTACCCCTCAGGGTTTTTAAGACTTTAATACAATAATGCTTACATATTCCATTTGGAGATCAGCCAAGTCACATTATCAAGAAAACACATATTTACTGTATTTTTTTTTCAATCCACCAGTTCAGTTTCTGTTTTGTCTGAGATCATTATGACACTCAGTATGTCTGCTGATGCTTGCTGTAGGTGTGAGTTTAGTTCTGGTATCCTGACTCAGTTTTCATTAGTCTTACTAATATGGTCTAAATCAGCAGGGCAAAGGTTCACTAATCAGAACCTTTTTCTCTCCTCCTTTTTTTGTAAGAGCTATGTAAAGTTCCACATGCCAGAAATGGAACACCCAGTGCAAATATAAAAGCCCAGTTACAGTTGACTTTAATGTTTTCTCTCTCCAGCAATCTTGTCAGCAAGAACTCTCCTCTGTGTGGGTATCACACTTGGGCAAGAGGAGGGGCTCATTTTGCAGCCATGTCACCCCTGCAGATGCACTGGTGATGCTCTGTAGTGACTGAGCACCTGATTTCTGCAGCAGGAATGGCAGTCACACATTCAGAACCACCTATTTTTTAATATTCTTGGAGTTTTGCGGAGCTGCAGCAGAAGCAGCAGTGTCTCTGTGTGTCTTCACACTGATTGCATTGAGAGCCAGGCTGGAAAGGAATTGAAGGGGGAGATACATCATAGTAAACTGTAGGCTATGCCTACGGTCAGGGAGGAGGTCAGGGAAGGGGAGGTCAGGGAAGGGGGCAAGATCAGCTGGCCAAACTTATTGTTAGGTGTTTCTGTATGCATGTGATAAAAACAGCATGCCAAAGTGGAATTGCAGGGCGACAGGCATGCAAAATCTGTTTCATTTCTGCCAAAGTGAGGGGGTTTGCATCCCACCTGCCTGTGCTTGCTATGAAAATTGCTCATGCTTCCTAATTAGGATCATTTATTTAATTCAAGACAAAAAAAAAATCTATTATTATGGATTTTCAGGCAAATATGATCCTGTGACTGAACATGGTTGGGGAATGATTACATAAATAATCAATGTGGCAGGTCCAAGAGAGTGATAACATCTGGAGAGCAGGAAAGCTGGTTGCTAACCCTGTTTTGCTACAATCATGTAGTTGAAGCATTTTACTGCTCACAAAAGATGGCAATAATTTTACATAGGAAGATTTCCCTAGCTTTATTTTGCCTCAGTGCTTGTAGGTTTTTAAGTTTTGTATGACCTGCTGAATAATTCCACCATTTTAAAAACTGTGGCTCTTCTTTTATCTAGATGCACGAATACAAATCTTCAACCCATCGCATTTTTCGTTTGAACAACATAGCCAAAGCACTTAAGTTCTTGGAGGACAGTAATGTGAGTATTTCCAAAGTCAGGTCTTAATATTTTTCTCCTGATGTGTGCTGCAAGTTGCAATTGCTGCAATTGTAGTTAGTCAGATATGCTTCATGTTTGTAAGAGGAATGTACCACTTAAAGAGGCTGTGACTTACCTTTCAGCTGAAAGGCCACATAAAGGCTGAAAAGCCACATAAAAATGCACAACAAGAACACCTATGGAGTCTAAAACAAGGATTATTTGTTCATTTTATATGTAAAAGTTCAATGGGATTAAAGGATCAGGAACGCAATATTAAAAGAAAATAAAAAGAAATGCAGGTAATTTTTATGAGCTGGGTCTTAGTGGCATTACTTCAGTTACACTGAAGGTAGGTGACTTTCTTTTATGGGAAATACTTTGAGTATTACAAATCATGTATTTTTCTGGTAAACTGACTGCTGCAGCAGCTGATAATGAGTCAAAGGCAAGAGAAAATGAAATCTGGGAACATGACATAGATACATAATTCCAGGAATCAAAGCCTTATGGGGATATAACTTCTCTCATAGTCAGTGTGGCAGCGCTGCAGAATCACTTCCTAAAGTTGCAAGTGACCAAGAGCGATCAGGCCCCGTAGCTTGAAATTATTCATTCCTTTTTTTATTTCTTCCAATGTGGGTTTATTCCAAAGCCTTACTGAAATGCCCTGTGTATTGAAAACTCTCTGCTCTTGAAAAATGTTAAGAAGTAATGGGACTAAGAGAAATCCCAGTCATGTAACAACTCATATACATGGTATACCTAGATCTTCCAGAAAGAGAAAATGAGCTATTTCCTATAAAGGACTGCAATAAGGTTTATCTTAATGGGTGAGGGGGGTTAGAGTGTGTGCATAGGAGTAGAACCCTGCCTTGCATGGAATGCCCAAACAAAACTGATGCCACTTTGCTGCTTCCCTGCACTGAGCCTTAACTCTTGCTCCAGAGATCCTGCAGGAGAGTTGCTGAAGACCTCAGTGCAGGAATGAGCATGATGTGAGGTCTTAGTGCATCTCTTATGACCTCTGAGATGTGGGAGGTTTTACATCCTTTGCCTTTTTCCTCAGGAGGGTATGTGAAAAGTCAAGAAGTAGTCCAGTAACTTCCAGGTGTTCCAATCTCCCTATGAAAAATCCATCAGTGGAGGCTGATCTGGCCCTAAATGTGTACATCTACATGTCCTGCTATAGAACTCTGAAAAAACATTTTACATATTCACATATTTCTTAACAGTTTCCCAGTTGATGCTTTCTACCCAAATCCAGCTAAGACCCACTGGCAGATGATATTTTTTTTTTCTCTCTGTTGGTACCAGCACATTGCAGAGCTGCAGCTGAAGCATGTCTGGTTGTCAGGACCTCACCAGGGGATAACCTAGAACCTCAGTGAGCAAGGCCAGGCAAGAGGAGCCTAGAGCACAGGTGGCCTTTTAATTAGTAGTGCTGAACCTCCTTTTCTATGGATTTCTTGTTCCCTTAAAAGTAAGCAGCCAATATCTTAGTATTGCTGCTGGGTAATACCAGCAGCTGATATTACCAGCTGGGTATTTCTGTGGAGCTGAGTGACAAGCGTAAGCAGCAGTAAGAGGACAGAGCTCACACTGAGCAGTCCAGTGATAAAAGCCACTTGCTCCCCATTGTGGAGAAAGTGCTATTCAAATTCACCAAGTCTTAAAGGTTTTCCCATGCCAAATACTTTGGAGCTAGCAAGAAATCTGAGCCTTGAAATATGACAGCTAGGGGTGTCTTCTTGCTAAGATTGAAAATGTTGTGCGAACCACTAGATAAAGAGTTATTTTGCTTTCCTTTTTTCAGCTTAACCAAACCGGTTAGTGAAGGGTGGTGATGAAAGTGTTGGCAAAATGCCTTGGCTGCCAAGAGCTTCAGGGTTAGATATTAAACCACAGTGGAACCTGTCAGCATACGCTTCTGTGGAGCTGGGGCAGCAGGGCAAAGCACTGCTGAGTGATTCACCATGTCCGGGATTTCTCCGAGATGAATGGGCTGTATGCTGGGCTTTAACTCAGTCTGGGTGCCTTGTGCAGTACTGACAGCTTCCTTGTTTCCTCCCTCCCCTGTGACCTTTGCCAAAACAAGTCTGTGTTGTCTAAGAGAATAACATCCTGGTGTTATCAGCTGGAAAAAACCTCTGTGGGAAAGTCTAGAGTTTGCTTGGATTAGGCAACCCTATCCTTTGCTCACTGATTTAATCGGAACTCCGTGACAAGCTGTGTAAGGTGGGATAAGCAAGGAGGAACAAGATGTATAGCAAAAAAGAAGTAAGCAGATCTTACTAGGATTTTAAATTTTTGTACGAGAAGTGAGAAAGATGAATGGGATCCACTGGAGTGGGCCCTGTCTTCTTCCATTTTTATATGGAGGAAACGCATTTGTGGTCCCAGGAATGGAGAACTGGGTTCACTTTTGTACTGCAGACTATGCTGGGGCATTCAGATAGGAGTTTCAGAAGCAGGGTGCTTGTCATCAGGGAAAATTATCCTTAACACAAGATTTCAGTATTGCTTTCTGGCCGACCAGTCAGTGGCAGAAGTGCTGTGGACATATCCAGTAGTCTCAGTGCATTTTTTGCATATACTTTGCTTTTTTGAATTTGGCTCTGGATTTATTTTCTCTTTTACAGGTAAAACTTGTTAGCATTGATGCAGCAGAAATAGCAGATGGAAATTCCTCTCTGGTTCTTGGACTAATATGGAATATAATCTTGTTTTTTCAGGTAATAAAATTTGAATACTTTACTCATAAGTGAACAGTCTTCATGGTATCAATCAATTCCAGCTGAATATAGTCCTAAAGAACATATTAATCATAGTAAACCTGAGCTCTACCCTCCTAATATACACTAATTTTATACTTGCAGCTGCTTTCATTTTACTTCATTGGACCTATTTTGGTGTAAATTGGAGACAATTTAAACCCTCATTTGACTTGGACCTGAATTAAAGCTTCAGATTACTACTTTGCTTTCTCTCCTTGCCTTCTCAGGGTTCTGTTCCAGATTACCTGGATCTGAACCAATGTCCTGGGTTTGGTTCCAGGTCACAGTTTATTTTCAATAACCTTTTCTGGATTTGGTCCAATGTGATGGGAAATTCCATTTAGAATCACTGATCTCTGGAGACTTACTCGACATGGCAAAAATTCACAACTGATGAATGAAAGATCTCGAAGGGCCAGGAAGTGAAAAAACTGATTTGAGCCTGAAAATTGATTTAGCCCCAGACTTATATTAAAACTGTGCCCTAATCTACACACAGTTTGAAAATTACCTTCTAAACAATACCAAATTCTAATGGACAGAGAGAGAGATGGAGAGAGGGTTCTGCAACTCTTGTAAGACTGTGAGGCCCTTTCATTCTCTTGAACTCATTTAAAAAATGGCTGTAAGGTTAAAAAAATGATCTTGAATTTGCACGGAGGCTTCTCTCCCTGGCTGAGCTCCTCGGGCTGAGCAGTGCTGCACAGAACCGGTTCAGCCAGGCAGACTTGCGGGCAGAGATGCTGCAACCAGGATCTGTCACCCTGGCAGCAGAGGGCACAGGGGATCCAAAAGCAGCAGAGTGGATAATTTGGACTCAAATGTCAGTGCTGACCAAGGACAGGAGTGCTGCTGCAAGTCACTACTTTTTGACTAAAAATATATCACACAAGCAACTCCTGTGAAGAGAACAATTTCAGTTAAACTAACTTTTCTTTCAAGGACATGTTTCTTTGCTTTTTGTTTAATAGGAATTTCCGCAGTTCAGCCTGAACAGTACCCTGCCCTTTCTGTTGCCTGGGGCTGCCAGCTGGGCTGCTGCTGACTGTCACGCCTGTGCAATACAAGCCAAGAGTTAAAATGGACAGGACTCTAATTACCTCTTAAAATTCAGTTATGGCATTGATCTCTTTAAAGTTTGCGTGTAAACAAGGGCACCATGCAGCCCATGATAAAGCAGAGCACTGTGTGTTTTGCCTTTTATTACAGATTAAGGAGCTGACCGGCAACCTCAACAGGAACTCCTCCTCCTCCAGCCTGTCCTCTGGGCCCAGTGGTCCAGAGTCAGACACATCCCCCAGCACTCCCAGCGTGGAGAGAAACATGTCTATTACAGTGAAGGATCAGCGGAAAGCCATCAGGGCCCTTCTAATCTGGGTTCAGAGGAAAACCAGAAAGTAAGCTAGCAAACTCTTGTATAAAACCGTGTCTTGCCACCCGCCCTTTTGAAGCTGAGTCTCTTTTCTCTGTCCTGCCCCGTGGGTCTGTTACTGTGTGCTGTAGCTTCTTCTGCTTTCAAAGTTTGCAAGTGCAGGGTCTCTGCAGGGGGTGTTTGAGTACGGCCATGTGTCTACAGCAGCTGTCTGACCTTGAAGCCCACTGCTGGCTTCATAGTTTGAGTGTTAAATGTTAACTTGCAATAACCTTCTTGATGCTGTTTAAAACAGGAGCATTCCCACCTCCCTATACTCCTGGCTTTCCTGCAGTCTGTTCAATATCTTTTGCTAATTAAAGGCTAGGTGTAACCAAGGGGTGAACTGAAAAAATAAATTTATTGAAAGACTTTATCAACAGCCTTTTAAATTAAGCAACAGCCCTGAGGAAGCTTCTCTGTGTGCTGCAGAGTCCCATGAAGGACAGAGACCCTACTAGACCTCCTCATTCCTCAGAATTCAAGGGGGAAGGTGGTGAAACTTAAGTCACTTCTCTCAAACTTGTAAAATTTGAGTCCATTTCCATTGCACAACACATCTCTCCTCTTTAATAAAAAAGTGGTTGTTTTGCCAAAGCATTTTGTCTAGTAATGCTTTATCCTGGCAGAGTTACTGTCACGTTAAAAAACTGTAGTGTAAGATATCTGGTGCACATGCAAATGCTTGGACTGTATTTTATATATGTTGTTATCTGAAACAATGACTGGCATAGAGTTTTAAAGAGGGCATGGGTCAAAGTTACTTATACAGGTTGGTTATATGAATATTTGGCAATTTTATCTGTTGATTTGTATGTCCAAATCTGCCTTTGGACACAAATTTCTGTATCTAGTGTTGAAGACAGAAATTTCGATCTTAAATGCTTGGTCCTGTGGACATCATTCCTTGGTTATCTCCAGTGAAGCTAAGGGTGCTTGTTGTTCCATTGAGATCCATAGTTCACTGCTGCCAGCACAGACCATAAAGGAGGCATGGTTTTGGTCCCAAAATAATGCTGATATCATCATTAACAGGGAGGTGATACAAGGAAAGTGAGGACCTGAGAAGTAAAGGCCATAGTCTTTTCAGCCCAGTCAAAGAGTACAAATCGAAAACATCTAACAGGAGAAAATTGTTCTTGCAACTGCACTGTTAAAAACATAATAGCATCACTATAATACTGTTACCCCATGATCTCTGCAGAATTTTCTGTTCTGGGGCTGTATTTCATTGCAAGTTTGATGGCTGTTTTTCCCTCCAAAACTTTGGACATAAACTTGTGGTTTCTGGATATGCTGACATCATTTGCATTTGGCAAATTTTCTGCTATAGAAGGCCAAATACAGAGGAATGTGAATCATTTATGCTTATTTGTTTAAATATTTAAATCTTGGCAGTTTTCCCAAGCTATGGCATTAAAATGCTGGAGAGCAACAGAAACGGGAATCACAGAGACATTTGGTTTTGTGAATGTTAATTGTGGTTGCTGAATTCTTGAGGGCTTTGTTTTTACTAACTACTTCCTACAAGCAGGTTCATGTCAGCTGTTAGCCACGCCAATCCAGTTTGTGAATCTGTGTGTTTTCTGGATGTATTTGTGCATTTTGAAATCCAAAAATATCTCAAATGTGACAAGTACAACTCAGCAACCTTCTGTTTTAACTTTTCGGAGTCTTTGAAAATTGTTATGCCTTTACTTTGGATTTTGTAACACGACCACCCCCATAAACTGTATGTCATTCTGTTTAGGTACGGTGTTGCAGTTCAGGACTTTACCAGCAGTTGGAGGAGTGGCCTTGCTTTCTTAGCCATCATAAAAGCCATAGACTGCACTTTGGTAGACATGAAGCAAGCACTGGAGAAATCAGCACGAGAAAACCTGGAGGATGCTTTCAGCATAGCACAGAATAAGCTGGGTGTTCCTCGGCTCCTCGAACCAGAAGGTAAAACACCTACATCAGCTCTGTTGGGTAACATTCAAACTATAATGAATTCATGAATAGTGCATTGTGATACCTACCAAAAACCTCCCAGTGATTAGGCTGTTGATGTGATCAGTGTGTTGATCTTACTGATTAGAAAAATAGAAATTAATTGGCCAGCAGCTTGTAGCTGTATGCTGTCAGTCATATTTGTCAGCTCCTTGGGGGCAGAGATCTTACCATGGTTTTAGCTACGTACACTGGCCCTGGTTCACGTTTAGATGCTATGTGACATCTGCATTACTAGGGGGCATTAATTGTTGTGCTGAGGGGTGTCTCAGTGCATTAGCACTGTTTTGTAACACCTCAGCATGGAGAGACTAAATGTCACTCCATGATGAAGTGTGCAAGGCTGCCGTACCGGGAAACTGGATGGATACCTGTTCAAATGCATTTGCATCTCCCAATTTTCACTTTACAATGCGTATACACACACACATATTTATATATTTAAATACAAAATATGTGTGTGTATATAAATATATGTATATAAGTGGATTTCTTGTAGTGCTTTTTACTGAACTCTACTAGACAGGTGTTAGGCCTTGATGCTATGACTCAAAACCCAATTGCATTTTCATGGGTCACATGTCAGAAGACTGGGTCATCCTGCCACAAATAAGCCTCTGTATTGTCACTGAACAACACTCAACTGTCTAGTGACAACAACATAAATGACAGTACAAAGGTGGATGAAAAGGGACCCCGATTGGGATTTGGTATGTGTTTGGAAATAGGAAAAAACATGTGAACAAGATGTTGAGAACTCTATCGAGTGCCATCAACAGTGGAGAGCATTTATCTTATCTGTCAGAAAAAGAAAAGTGTTTGTTAGCTGTTAATTCTCTCACCACAAAGGCAGGATAAATGTCTGACGATCTGTTCCTCTGCAAGTGTTTTAAAGCCATGTGTGCTCAAGGCCCTTTTGTCTGTCTCCACAGATATCATGGTGGAATCACCTGATGAACAGTCAATCGTCACATACGTGGCACAATTTCTGGAGCACTTCCCGGAGCTGGAAGGGGTATGTGTTTTCTCCTATATCACATTTCTTTAATTTGCTTTGGTGTACTTAATAAAGTCAGATATTTATTTTCTACATATCTTTCTAAGCTACTTAAAATAACAAACTCATATTTAATTTTTTGCATTTTTGTTAAATCTAGAGAAATAGGCTTTCGTTGGTGAGTGCTAAAATGCTTTAGGTAGAATTGTGCTTTTAAACATTTACATCCAATTGTAACTTTCAGAGATTAGGACTTGTTTCACAGGACTCTACCACTTTGCTGTATTTGTCTTAAATAAGGCTGAAATTTATCTGTTCACCTATGATGATTCATTGGACTTTGAATTTAATTTTGAATTCTATCTTCTCAAGTTTGAGGGCCATGATCGATCTGAATTTAGCAGGTATGAGACACAAGATACCAGAGGCTGAATCTTGTCAATACAACAGTCAAAAGCATTTACTGTAAGCATGAAATAAACTGCAGCTTAAACAACTAGGACTTTAATGCAAAAATAAAGAGTTGAGGATTAAGTGGGGCCTGACAGTGCCAGGGATTGCCAAAGATCTTTTGCAGAAACAGGCATTTCTCAACTGCAGGTTCCAGTTGGGATATATTTTGTATCTGATAAAATTGGTGGGCATTACTAAAGTCGTTGGAATTAAAATAATTATAATAATCTAGTTGTTATTATTAAATTAGATGAGCAGTAAGATCTGCTGACATTAAGACTTGTTGGCATTTTAATGCACATAGAAAAAACCTGCCTTTCTTTTAATACAGTCTGTTGGAATGAAATAATCTAATATATCAATACATTTCATAGTGGATTTATTGGAGTTGTTAGATTTATGTTATTCCTAGGGTTTGGGATTATGTCAAAAAGCCATCAGTTGTCTCCACAGGTGCAGCAGGGAGAAATGAATACATTAACAACTGAGGATTAGGCTTGTCTGCATTCTGATCTTCCTGTACAAGTGGCTTCTTGACATTGAGCTTTTTCAAGGCACTTGACTTGCCAAATCAGTTTTCCTACTTTCAAAATAAATGAGTCATTAATTGGCCATTTACAAGGTAATGGGGTGATGGGCTAGGTAGTTATTCTTTCTATAGTGTTTGGGAAATGTAAAATGGTATTTGAGGTAGGATTTATTATTTAATGGTGTATCATCACTTATAGGAAGACTTTACAGATCCTGACAAGGAGCTTCCAATTGAGTCCACATATGTCCACATCAAAGACACACCGTCAGAAAAGGAAGGCAAAATCTTGATTTTAAGTGAAAGTGAAGAAAACATGTATACTGTTAATCATGAGAGGAGTCATCCTGCTCCTCCAAAGGTCCATATTCATGACATCCCTGAGAGAATCCCCTCAGAAACCGCTGCTGAAAATTGTAATGGGAAATTGAGTCAAGTGTTAGGTGACTCACAGGAAACATCTGAAGAAGAGCCTCAGAGGCCTACCTCACTGAAAATCACAGGATCTGTCAGTTTTGAATCCAGTTCCTCTTGGGAGGTTCTAAGTGATAAATTCATGTCAGGTGAAGGGGGCATCTCTGATGATCAACTGAAACAGAACAATGACCTTTCTCCAACTGTTCTGACAGATCAGAAAAATTCTGTCGACTCTTTTGAAGAATACTCTGAAGAATTAACTAAAGAAACCCCTACTGAATATGACAACGAAACTAAGAGCCTTTCAGCCAATACTTCTTCTTTGAGTCCATTATCCTGGACTTCAGGTATACTTACAGATGATTCTATTAATAAAGTAGAAGAGAGCAAACCCCAATCTTCAGTTCTTTTACCAGAAGACACCTCAAAACAAGAAGATACACATAAGTACGTTCTTCATCTTCTAAATGAGGAAATACAGAAACATCCAGAAGATGAACATACAAAGGAATCACCTGTCTTCGAGACAATAGAATCAAGCCCTTGTTCACTGAATAGTTCTAATCTCGAAAGCCAAGAACTGTCTACACAGCATGAAACATCTGATGAGTCTCTCTCAGATGTACCTAAAACTCCAGATGACCTGGACAGCTGTGATGAAGTTGAGTCTGCAGCTCAAGTGTTGCCCAGTTCTTCCAAAGTATCTGTAATACCCCATGATCTCTTTTATTATCCACATTATAATGTCCCTATATCAGCAGTTCTGAATGCTTACCTGGAGCCTTGTATCGAAGGTTATGACACTGGAAATGACAAAGCTTCTTCTGAAACAGTAACAGGTGTTTTACCTGACAAGAGCTTACCAGAACAGAACTGCAAGGAAGATGCTCCAGAGCCAGACTTAGACAATAAGCTAAGCACCCCTCCATTAGAAACAGATGCTGAGAACAGTGAGGAGGAAACTACAAATATTAACAGTCACATGAATTATTCCAATGAAAAAGAAGTGCCATTACTAGTAGAAGAGTTAGAAATTGAAGAAGACGGCAATAAGGCCACCAACGATCAAGATTCCACTATTCCACAACATCTTGAGGTATTTTATTTTTTTATTACCAGCATTTCTTTGTGGGGGATTAGCATCTGACCTCAGAGGTTTTCATTTGCTTTCATTTTGCAGTGTTTGGGAGAAATATTTAAAATATACTTTGTTTCCTGTCCCATAACACTGTTTGCCACAGCCCCCTACTGGAATGAATGGAACTGCAGATCCCTGAGAAGATCTGACATTAAGAGAGAAAATAAGCCCTATTAATAGTACAGCAAAAATGTGAATTTTTATTATGTTTTAAAATAGTTTGAGGCTTCTCTGTAATCCCTAGGCATAAAAGATTACCAGAGAAGGTATTTTTAATAATTTGTAATGAGATGAATAGAAAGTAGTATTGCTTATAAAGAAAGGATAAAGGCAATGACAATTTTTATCTGAATCCAAATAAGTTTGCCTACAAAAGCTTAAAAAACCAATTTGAGTAGGCTTGTCAAAATGAAGGCTTGTCTACACTGGAGGAGGAGAAAGAGGGGGAGATTTTTGGGGTATTTGGTTTAGACAGTTTGCTCCTGTATCTCTTTGCAGACACCAATTTTGAAGTGCCTTACACGTTTTCCAGTGCAGTAATTTTTGACAGTGTTTTTCAGGAATGAGTGACCATTTAATGCTGCTCTAAATGTTGCTTGGACAAGTTGCTTCAACATGTTTTTGTCCTGACACTTACTATAGTAATGAAGTCACTTTGCTGTTAGCTTGAAAGACTAATTTGGGATAGATTTAAAAAAGTCTAGTTGATTGCTTCGAAGACCCATGTCATGTCATGGCTTCTTAAGAGAAAGAACTGACAGTTGTCAGTATGATGATTGTATGTTGCACTGGTGATACTTTATAGCTCAATGTATCCAAAAAGATTTTCAAGAAATTAATTGCTTTTTTTATTCTCTTCAGTGAGACTTTCAATCTCATACTACTTGCAATATAGCATCTGAATAGGCTACACCACTAAGGTATTTGGAAGGGTAGAGAATCAGTCTTGTTGCCTAATGCAAAATGTTTCTTAACTTCAACAGGCCATAGTAGAACCTCTAGAGGATTTATCAATAGCTATAAAGACATCAGAAGAAAGTAGTAATAGGGAGGAGGAAGGGGAAAATATGATCAAAGAAGATTTGCAGATCTCAGAAGTCGCCACTACTACTCTGTCACAAGATAACCTGCAAGAAATAGCTGAATGCCAGGAATTTACCAGGTATTTCACATTAACTT